GGGCCGCGCCGGGCGGCGGCGGCGGCGGCGGCGGCGGCGGGGGCGCCTCCGCGGCGGCGTGCACGGGCGCCGTCGCAGGTGCAGGCGCGGCGCCGGGCGGGCTGTCGCCGGTGATGAGCGGCGCGCACGCCGCGGGGCACGGCGGCGGCTCGCGGCTCGTGAGCGAAGCAGGCGCGCCCCAGGTCTGGGGGACGGCTGTTGGCCCTGACCCCGTCGCGGCCCAGCTGCGCGAGGCCGCACGCGCGGCTGCGGAGCAGGCCGTGTCTGGGGATGAAACTGTCGAGTCCGGCGACGACACGCTGGAGAGCAATACGCAGCCCGCCGCGCCAGTCTAAGGGACGACGGCGCAACAGCAGCAGCAGCAGCGGCAGCAGCGGCAGCATGCCTGTCAACACTGGTGTGGCAACCCTCGCCTTCGCAACCGAGTACTGCAGGGCTTGCGGCAGCAGCTGCTCCACACGCGTGCAGTCGCGACAACGCCTTTCACCATTGCTCACCTGGGAGCAGAGCGTCGGCTGTGGGGAGTTATCGCGCCCGTCCGCCCCGTCCCCCCCCCCCCCAAACTGCGCTTGGCTTGCGGCTCGAGGGCCACAGCCGTGCCAAGCTTGTGCCGCTTGACGACTGCTGCTTATTGTCACTCGATATCCCAATCGGTTTCCTAGTGTTGCTCTCAAGCGTGCCATCGGCACGCCCGCCCCCGCGCTATCGCATCATCATGCGCTCACTAGCCTGGGCTGCGCACCACCCCGTCCGCCGAATTATGATTATGCGCAGCCAGGTTTGCGCTTGCCTTCCCAGCTGCTGGGGACCGTGCTCTTCCCAATCGGTCCGAGTTCAGTGGTCCCTGGGCACAGGACAGGCAACAGGTAGGGGCCCAGGGAACAAACATCGCTTTGTGCTTGGTTGCTACCGCAAGCAGAACATACAGGCGCCATCGGTCCCCTTGCCCTGCGCAAGCAGCCGCCACAGGCTGCGTCAATCAGTTCCTGCAGTGATGTCTGCCGTTTATGGGTCTCGGTGCAACGCACGGCTGCGTCGGCTTTCGCCACGTGTTGTTGCGGCAGCGCTGACATGGGCTGCTGTGATGCAAGCTTCTCCCTCAACGCCCCTCCTCTCCGTTCGCCCTGCCCGGCTTTTCGCTTTCAAACAGCCTCCGTGCGGGCGGCCTCAGGCCACCGGCCGCATGTGGTGCCGCACCAGGCCGTCCACTGTTGCCCTCGGCACGTTGCACCCGCCCCACTCCCTCCTTGCTCCCCCCACTTGTCAGGCCCGAATGAAAGGCCGCCTGTGCGTGGGATGCCTTTCATGCATGACGGCGCGCTGCAGGCGGCCGCGCCTGCGTGGCAGCCGGGCGTGCTGTTGGCGTGGTGCGTTCCCCGGCGTTAGGCGCAGGGCGCACGGCTTTCGGATATGCGCTGCTCTCGGATATGGCCTCAGTAGTTGGCGACACTGCTGCAGGCACAGCGCGGGCTTCTGTGGCCCTTTCCATGCGACTGCCCACCACGTGACCTCATGCCTAATCCGTTTGACTGTATGTGTGTCCTGAAATCACGTGCTGTTTGACTTACCAAACAACCCCAAAGGCGTGTTGGAAACGGCGTTTTACACGGCATATGCACAGCCGCGTGCCCCTCAACAGCCGCGGCGCACCTGCCTCTGCCGCGGAGCTCGGGCGTGCCGACTCCAGCAAGGTCCAGATCGCTTTGACTGCTGCGCGCGCGCCCAAGCAACAAAAATTCAAACGTCTAGGCAACGGGTTGCGTTCAGTGCGAAGCACTCTGCGGGCGGCACCACCCGGGGCTCGCACCGTCGCAACGGCGGGAGTCGCATGCAGGGGCCTACAATGCTTGATACGAGGCCCACCCCCTCGGCTGGGTAAGACAAACCGAAAATAGAACCGCGTGGCTCATGCTACTACGCTCGGCTCAAGTCTGACCCTGCAATCGACAGCCTGCGGATGCGTGCGCGTCGTGGCTCAACTCGAGCTGCTGGCCAACGCAGAGCTGCCCAGATGACGTTTGATCGGCTACACGGCAATACTTGCAGAGTACATTGCGACGTGTCCCATATGCCATGCAGCTGCTACTTTCTCAGGCAGACGGTTGTGCCTGCGCGGGGTGCTGGGCATGCCCCAAGCTCCCAGTGCGTGGTCACATGGTCAACACCATTGAAGCGGCTCGCACCAAGTTGTGGTTCTGAGCTCGTTAAGGCTGCTCGGAATGGGCACAGTATGGCCTGTAGGTTCTGATAAACTCTACTGCTGCATGGATGCGCGCGAGTCCTTATCATAGCTTGCGTCTTCCATGTTGCCTGCTTCGCACTCGCCCTTCACACTTGATCGAGTCCATTCCTGCGCTGTTTGTATCCACGCGTCTGTTATATTTTAACTGTAAAACCATATTTGACCCCTACACCACGTTGGCTGTTGCTGCCACCTCCTAGCAGCCATGGGTCTCACAATTAGCAAGCTCCTGTCGCGGCTGATAGCCAAGAAGGAGATGAGGATCCTTATGGTAAGCTTTCGCTTGCTGGTTAGCTCAGAGGCTCTGCGGGCGCAGCTGAACAGCGTTTTGGCTCACGCAGGTGGGGCTGGACGCTGCTGGTAAGACAACCATCCTCTACAAGCTCAAGCTCGGAGAGATCGTGACCACCATCCCAACCATTGGTGAGGAGCTGGGTCGTGTTGACCGCTCGAGGCGGCCGGCTTTGCTGCCAAGGTGCATCAAAGCGAGCGTGTCCAACCTCTCGTCCATGCAGGCTTCAACGTGGAAACCGTGGAATACAAGAACATTAGCTTCACCGTTTGGGATGTGGGCGGCCAGGATAAGGTGGGTTGTGCCTCATTTCAAGGCAGTGTTTCCTGGCCTCGATCAGGTTGCCCCTGCTTGTTATGTTGTTAGTTGCAATTACCGTTGACTGAGATATCACGGTTTGAATGTAAGCCGGCTGCACTGTGCCATGCATGTCGGAGCGCTCGTAGCGATCCGCCGCTCCCGTGCTGACGTTTTTCGAACGCGCCCCCTGCGCCTCTTCGCAGATCCGCCCCCTGTGGCGGCACTACTTCCAGAATACACAGGGGCTCATCTTTGTGGTGGACAGCAACGATCGCGACCGTATCGGCGAGGCCAGGGACGAGCTGCAGCGGATGCTCAACGAGGTGCGTGTGCGCACAATATGGGCAGTCGCTGCACTGACTGCGCCCTGTTCGACCGGGCAATGATCCGCGGTTGACGTGGGACACGTCCAGACGGCTTGCTGTTCAACAAACTCCCACAGCTGCAGTTGGTGCGGCCAGCTTAGACGAGCACTTGGATGATCGCCACTTGGCGCTTGCTTTTGTCAGCTGACCTCTGATCTCGCCGTCTGCCCTGATGGCCTACCCTCTGTGCGACGCAGGACGAGCTGCGCGACGCGGTGCTGCTGGTCTTCGCCAACAAGCAGGACCTGCCCAACGCCATGAACGCAGCGGAGATCACTGATAAGCTGGGCCTGCACTCCCTCCGGCAGCGCCACTGGTGCGCTGCCCAAACCAACCAGCATCATGGGCGGTGGAGCATCCTGTTTTGCATCCACCCCCTGGAATGCACCTTGAAAGAGTTTGCCATCTTCACTTTCGTCTGCCCTGCACGCGATCCCTCAATGTTGAACCAAAGAAAGTCATCACCCAGCCCAGTAGCTGCCGTGCAACACGCACGCATCTGCCAGCCAGTCAGCCTCTCACGTGTACGGTGCTGAGCGTCCCCGGTCCCCCATGCCATTCGCAGGTACATCCAGAGCACGTGCGCGACGTCTGGCGAGGGCCTGTACGAGGGCCTGGACTGGCTCAGCAACAACATCGCCAGCCGCGGCTGAGCGGCGGCAGCAGCGGGGCGCGGCCGCTCGCGGGAGGCAGGGCGCGGCGGCCCGCCCGACAATCAGCAGCAGCTAGACCGGCGGCCCTGCTCGCGAGCTCGAGCGGCCGCGAGATCAAGCGGCCGCGCGCGCGACAAAAGTTGGGTGACATGACAGCCGGCATCACCGTGGAGCAGGTCTCCGCCCTGAAACCGCACTAGACGTGCGGACGCGCGGCGCGGGCGTCCTCGATCAAGGCGCCACCACCGCGTGGAGGGCGGCGGCTGCGCCGCGCGGGCCTTCCGTGCCAGGTTTATCGCTCTGTGAGCACGTGTGGAACTCGGTTTGGTCAAGAGATGGTGGTGGGTTTGAGCCAGGCTGGGGAGAGTAGCGGGCAGGAGGCTTGGTGAGCACAGGGCGCGCTTCGAGAGAGTCCCATTTGTCCTGCAATAGCACGCATCCTGATTCTCGCAGCCTCTTTGCCCCTGCAACTGGTGGCCTCTTCATACCTGCGACCGCAGTGAACTGTGTTGCCGGCAGAGGCGCAAGCCCCGGGCTGCGCACTGTATGTGATGTAAGCCACCCCCTAGCATGGAAGCGGTCCAGCAGGGTGGATGTTATCAGTTTGAAGCACGGCAGTGAGGTATGTTTGGACAGGCGCGAGGGCAGCACAGCACAGAAATGATTTCACATTTTAGAGTGGGGATTCCCGGGGAAGGGGGGGAGGGAGCGAGCGGCGCTGCTGGGCCGACACCGCAACGACCAGTGTCTTGGGGGGCTGGCGGCCTCCAGGACAGTGGTGCAGACTCCAGCTTTGATGCGCTTGTTGTGAGCTGGATTGGCGGACTCAGAACGCGCAACTGAAGCAGCGCACACAGTGCTAGTCGTTCAGCCCTCCTAGGCCCTGCACGACGCAATCAAACACCCCACACATCCTATTTGCGCCCCCCCTTCCCTCCGGCCCCCATGCGCCCGGCAGCTGGTGCTACCTGGGGGGGCCCTGCCATTGTGCAAGCCGCACTCGAGCGCATGTTTGAACGCATGCGGTTACGCAGCACCTGTGCGCATGATCAGCACTTTACAAGCCCTTGCTTAAGAGTGCACTGGCTGCAGCCGTGTCTCTGCCTACACATGAGTGCGTCCCTTCCCACAGCGGAATTTTGAGGGGCAGCATCACTGATCTTCGCCCGTACCTGCCAAGGCCACCCTCACAGCACGATCCCGTGCATCGCATAGCCTGTCAAGTGTACGAAAGCATTCATCAATCATCTTAGACATCCCTTGACAGCCATGGCTGCCCTTCAGGCTCGCTCTCTTGGTCTGGGCCTTCGTGCCAGCGCGCCCTCGCGCAAGTCCGTGCTGTGCCGCGCTGAGAACAAGGTGTGCTCATGGCGACTGATGCCAGAGCAAAACGAGGCCGTAGCAGGGAGGGCGACACGGCAAGCCTTGAACCCACCATCATTGGGACGTCGCTGGAAGCCATGCCGTGCTAAACCAGACCAAGCAGCGTGCCATCGATGACGATGATCAATGACAATGGCCGCGCGCAGCTGACAGGGCCGTGGCTGCACGCACACCTGCCGGATGAGGGCGTAGCAGTGGCGGCGTCGCGTTTGCTGGCGCGCCGCCCACGCCCTCCCCCGCCCCGCGCCGCGCCGCTCGCGCCCCACCGACAGGCCCAGGTGATCCAGCCCCTCAACGGCGACCCCTTCGTCAGCATGCTGGAGACCCCCGTGACCTCGTCGCCCCTGGTGGTGTCGTACCTGTCCAGCCTGCCCGCCTACCGCACCGGTGTCTCGCCGCTGCTGCGCGGCGTTGAGATCGGCCTGGCCCACGGCTTCTTCCTGCCCGGCCCCTTCATCAAGGTCAAAGGGGGGGGGGACCGCGCTCGCTCGCCATGGGGCAAAAGAGCCAAGGCTGCAGGGCGCACTAAGGGGGGCTGCCCTCGCAGCAACAGGCGCGAGTGGGCGCGGATGGGGACTGCAGAGCGAGCGCAGGGGGAGGCGGGGTTTTGACCGCCCAACGCTGTTTGGAGGGCTGGTAGATGAGGGCAGGCAGGGAGCAGGGAGCAGGGAGCCAGCAGCGGCGTGGGGAGGGGTGCTGTGGCTTTGCAGCAGCGGGCTGCCCGCGCAAGCGCTCTTGCAGCATCGCCGGGCTCGACACGGTCGAACTGCACGCGGCCAGCAGGCCGCATGCCGCAGCTGGGTTCCCACAGGCTGCGTTGTGCAACGACTCGCCAGATTGACGCACGGCACGCGCTGCCAGAAGC